ACTAATGGGCTGTCCTCTCCAAGCGCCACGGGGGCTGCAAGACCACAGCCTGATACTTTCCCAAGTCCTGAGGTGCCAGATTGAAACATCATGGGCCTGCAAGATTACTCACTGACACCACCACTTCCAGGGTCCTTCACAGTTTTCGCTGGCAGCTTCTTCAAGGGAACATCTGCAACAGGGAACTGGCCGGAGAGCTTGTCAAAGGCTGTGTGTGGCAGGAACCGGAAAGCCTGTGACACTTCATCTGAGCTGACATACAGCTTTGTGATCATCATGATGTCGTCATCATGCTTGGGCTCATCATTGTCATCCTCCTCCAGGATGACCGCAAAACGTTGGGCCACCTTGCGCTTCACCAGCAAGAAGGAATGGCAGGCCTGAACATTTTTCTGCCTGTTTGCTGCTGTTTGCACGTGGCCGCTCAGCCCCCACTCCAGGCCACTCAAGAAGCCCTTGTAATCGTACGTGGCTTCAACATGTCTTGTTCGCAGCTCACGTCCCTGCCGGCCCTTGACACCGCCCTTGATCACAGACTGAAAACCATTCAGATCCTCGATCCATGATGCATTGAGCAGGGCAGTGCGGACCTCGCTGAAGCGCTGATCAGGTAAGCCGTGGGAGTGACCCTTCATAAAGTATGTGAAGTGCACCTCCGGACATGGAACGAAACACAAAAATGGTCATTCAACATCCCATGTCAACTCCAAATCATTGAATGCTCAACGAGAGCCTGCTGGAAGAGGTTCATGCTGAGCATCCAGCCACCCCACATGAGGCAGTACTGATTCTTGGTTTCGGCAGGGCAGTTGTCTGCATGTATACGCAAGCCACTTGGCAGAGGCAAATCTTTGGCAGCTAGTGCCCGGAAGGCCTGACAAACATGACAGATCATGGAGATCTTCATTAGGCACACAGGCAATGGACTTGTCTTTAGACCTTGCCTGCCGGATCTCCTCAGTCAAGAGTGTCATATCCAAATTGGATGTAGAAGCCACTATGGGATCCATGAGACAAAATGTCTCTGCAATTCCTTCGGTCACAACCACCGAACACTTCACCTCCTGGGCTGCAAGAGGGTCTGTCAAGGTTTTTACACTGTGAAGTTTGCAAGACCTTCAACTGCAGCAAAGTTTCGGGCTTAGTCAGGGCTTCAAAGGCCTTGGCCTTGCTGACGTTGCGGGGGATCCCGAACTTGGCCATGTCCATTCCATCCACGAACATGTTAAGCCATGTTGTGGCATCCTCCGCCCCACCGAGGTCTGAACATGCGTAGTTGCGAGCCATCAACCGCCACCTCGCGCACATTGACCGGTCCTTCATGACAACTTTCAAGTGGCCTTGAAAGGCCTCGCTCACGAGCTTTGAGTCTGCCCGACACTGACTCTGTCTCGCAAAGCCCTTGAACCTTTCACCTAAGATCTTGAGTGCCAGCATGGCACAAAACAAAAAAAAACACCATTACCGCATGCATGACTTCAAGAAGACTCTGAATTCAATCAAGCAGCACTCTGTGCATTTCCCATGCACACCTTGTGATCTGAACTTCAGAACCCGACACCACTTGACG